TCGTCACGATTTAATGCGCATGTTTAAACAACGTTGATCCAGGTACCTATCATATAAATTTGCATATAATCTAGTTATGATTATTGTCAATAATACTTACATTTCGATAAAGATGATGCTACCTACTTTACCTGTTATGTGATACTTATCATCACAGAGTCCAACCTTGAATCGCAGACCAAGTCCACTAACAAAACACTCGTTCCGAGAAGGGGCTTATGGTCTTCTTCTTCTTCTTCTTCTTCTTCTTCTTCTTCAGGTTCGCTCACCACCCGGAATGAAGACTCGGTGCGGTTAGTAATATCAAACAATTTTACATGCAAACGAAAAAGAGATACAACCAGGATTAGTTTTGTAAAGTAATAGTTTCATCTGAATACCCAACTAACCATATCTCAGTGACATTGTCCCACTCTGAACCCACACCTAAAGCTATTTTGTGATTATATGGTTACTTTGGTATTCACATGAAATGTTGTGCAAGTACCACAAGTTCAACAACGCCCAACTATGGACAGCTCAATGTTAATACCATTTACTCTTTGAATCAGCTTACACCAACATGATAATCTACTAAGACACCTAAGAATGTATAGACACAGACAAACAGACGTAACTCTTTGAAAAACTTGTTATTGAAAACATAGTATCTCAAAACATATAACCTCAGTAACGACATCTCTCTGGCTTCTCGCGGAAAACAAGCTTGCTCGCTAACTCGTAAACAATATTGCATAAAAGTTCTATAGAATGTATAGAAACGTCAAAGTGATCTGATGCCAGCGCTGCGGCGAGTAGTTCGCGGAACTGATAATATTCAAATCAACCGTTAAATGCATGAACGAAGATACACAATGAAGAGTTACGTCTGTTTGTCTGTGGTATAGAGATAAAGTTCAAAAATACAGTTTTAACTGATGGTACTTTATACACACAAAATCACGGCCTCCCTGTTCGGTAATTTTTTACTGGGTTTTTGAACAGCTGAAAAAGTCAGTAAACTTAAAAAAATTGTAAAAAATTGTATAAAAGTGATTTTTTCTTGAAATTTATACAGACTCTGTTCTTATTACATTTATTTGATGATAAAAATAAAATATGTTAAAATTTTTCGTTGCATTACGTGTGACCGTTATTTTCAGTTTACTGACTTTTTCAGCTATTTGAAAACCCAGTAAAAAATTACTGACCCCAGTAAAATAATCTCTGTGTGTAAACATCAAACTGTCCAATATTGGACCCTGCCAACAAACGGCACCTGCACGGCAATGTGGGCCGTCAGAATGGTTCATCGGTTGCGAAGTGAAGTGCTTCTCAAACTGAAGCGATACATTTCTCAATGTTTCAACGTTATCCTAACGTAAACTTAATATTATCACCCATATGCCCATCCACGCCCGAAACCCATCCACCACACAAAATCAAATAAAAATGTTTCTGTATGGCAAACACGTCCAGACATAAACGAGAATATGGGTGTATATCTTCACTGTAACAACTACGGGTAATCATCGAAAATACTTGCATTTTACTCAGGCACTTTTGAGCAAACTTCAATCACTCAGTGGCGTCACGTAACCTCACTTTTTACCTGTGCACAAACTTTCAAAACCAGATTTATTGCCATATTCATACTCGAATCGGTTGAAAAATACTCTTAATCTTCTAGTTTACTCGAAATCTATCCATTGGAAGCAATATTTTGATAATTTTGTATTTTTTGAGAGTTGGTGCACAGGTAGATTGAGGTTAAGGCGACGCCACTGCAATCACTCTCTCATATACTCGAAATGTGCCACGACCAAATTGACACAACGACGCCCTATACGCTATCTGACCAAAGCGCAGGGGTAGGGATAGGTTACAGTACAGTGGGTGCAACTACTACAAGGAGATGCAGGCGGGAAAATGGAGAAAGGATTTTTCTGATTGGGATATAGATGGAAAAGCGAAGGGACAGAGGTCAGATAGGCCACGAACGACCCACCATTCCTCATAACTATCCAGGCGTTCACGTGTGAAAGGTGTGGAACAGTTAAAGCAACCGGTGGAAACTAACGATTTTAAATTGGCTCACTACTTGACTAGCCTATTGGTCCCAAGCAAATCGATTAACGTATCCCATTCCAGTCGAAATTCTACACGGTAAGAAAAAATACTCAAAATTAAGTTTAAAAAAAAACTCAACGTTGGGTTCTATCATTTGAGGTCCGCCGTTGAGTGAATCAGAAAAGCGGCGTTGGTTAAAATTTACTCAACTATTGAGTAATAATAAATGAACTCAAATATAAGTTTATTTTCATTGAGGTTGCTCTTTAGCGCCTTTAACAATTTCATTTTCACAAGCGCTGATAGACGAGTGGTCAACACACGGGCCCCGTAATCTCAACGTCCATGGTTCGGTTCCAGTCTGCTCCGTTTTATTATTTTTTTGTCAACTTGGTCAACGTGGATTCATGATCAGGATTACTCAAAATTGAGTTTTCTTCTTTAACTTAATTTTACGTAGCCCCACGGAAGCCACGTGATGAGTGAAAGGAACTCAATTTTGGGTACTTTTTTCTTACCGTGTAGTACTATACTATGTTTGTTTTGATTCGCTATGAAAGTTTGAAGGATAAAATGAGGGGTTCGTGGATTTTCCTATGTTTCGAGGGGTTCATCGGTGCATTATTTCAAGGCGTTGTTATGCATTAAAATAATGAAGAGTTTAGACCTATGGTAAGATTCTGAAGGTCACTCTTGAGAAAATTCGTTTGCTGGCCTACGCATTGGAATGGCAAAAAGGCAGCTGTAAGTTGTCCAAATTTTGTTTCGAAAGAAACTCTTAAAGTTTCAAAAACTTTGGTTTCTAACGAAGAAAGAATTTGATGTTTGCTACGTCTATGAACAATGATGGAAACGCCACCAGAGGCTCCACGAGGACGATCGTTTCAATAAATGAAATAATTTGCGTCCTTCTTAACCTTATGGTCAGGTTTAAGGAACGTTTCAGTTATAACGGCAATATGCACTTTATGAACTCTCTAAAAATTAAAAAACTCGTCTTCGTTATCTTTAAGAGATCGAGCATTCCAATTCAAAATATTTAATGATTTAACATCCATTACTAAACTTCAAAGCCATGACGATATTGTTCACAATTTAAACTCCAGTTTGTATAGCTTCAACCATGTAGTTAGTTTTCAGCATATTAGCACAGACAAACAGACGTAACTCTTCATTGTGTATCTTCGTTCATGCATTTAACGGTTGATTTGAATATTATCAGTTCCGCGAACTACTCGCCGCAGCGCTGGCATCGGAACACTTTGACGTTTATATATATTCTATAGAACTTTTATGCAATATTGTTTACGAGTTAGCGAGCAAGCTTGTTTTCCGCGAGAAGCCAGAGAGATGTCGTTACTGAGGTTATATGTTTTGAGATACTATGTTTTCAAGAACAAGTTTTTCAAAGAGTTACGTCTGTTTGTCTGTGATATTAGTAATCACACAGCTAAAAAAAAGTAGTGTAAATTTCCGTTACTATGATGCACATAAATGGAGCGTCATATATCATACAAGTTTAGATTATAGATCGTGTAAATTTATGAAACATGTCATATAATATCCCATATATTGTATGCAACTGTCCACTTTTGTTTGCAACATTTTTTGCAAGTTGCTAGTTTACGTGAAAAGGAAGTTTACATGTATGAATGTTTGCATACATGGATGTTTACATCGCCAGTAAAATTCAGAATTTTTTGGTGTGCATGTCAATTAATGATTCCTGTGAAAATACGATTTTAGGAGCTGTAATGCTTTACAGTTCGAAGCTTTGCGAGTCTTATATTCTCGAAAATTGAATTTATGGTTTCACCACAGTTTAAACATTTAAATTTTAAAGCATCTTCCTTCACAGGACAGTCGTCCTTAGCGTGAGATTCCTGCATTTAGCTGTCATGTAGCATTTTTTTTGTTCCGTGACCCCATCCCTGGCACTTACGGCACTGGGTGAGGTTTTGGAAATTTCCTCCAGTCTTCCTGAAGTGTTCCCACTTCACTCGGACATGGAGTATAAGGCTAGCTTTTTCCAAGGCCTTAAGGTTGTTTAGTTCACGAGATTTGAAGTGAACTAAATAAAAATCATTGGAAATCCCGTTGCGTGAATCGCCAAGATCGGATTTCATTTTCATTTTGATTACTGGGACTAATTTAGTCAATTAATCTTTGATCGGATTCGGAGATTTAGCACTGGGCAGACCTTTGAAGACAACCTTGAACAGACGTTCAGTTTTGGTGTCATAAGTAAAAAATGTGTGTTGCTTCTCAGTAAGGTATGTGAGAAGACGTTTGAATCCGTTCAAGGTTTCAGCCAATACACGGCATTCACCCCGACGGTAAATTTGAAGTGAAAACTTAAATTGAATGAAGTTCAAAAAGTTCCTTGCGAAGAGCATGGAAATCGGATGTGGTTACGACAATAGGGGGAACTTTTTCCTTTTTGGCATTAAGCCGGGAATGTTTGATTGAATTTTGCCTGGATGATGGATCATTCTCATCATCCGTAAGCATATCAAATTGATTGCTCTATTGAATTTCATCAGAAGGGGGATCAAGCCATTGTCCTTTTCTTTTGTGCTTAGGCGCCATGGCGGCAGAACCAAGTTTCTCCAAATCGACTTCCAATCATATTACTATAAGAATCCGAAGGATCGAAGAGAAATTTTTCCAAGTCGATGGTCAAGCAGGGTAGGGTCCAAACAAGGATCGAAGAGAAATAAGAGTCAAAAAAGGTAGACATTTTACAGGTTGGGCACTGCAAATTTGTTGTAGCTTTAAGTAGCAGAAACACTTCCTTCAGCAAAAAGCAACGCATTCTTTGTTTGGCGAGTTTAAACGTAAAATATTGATTGTTTTATCCTACTTCACTTTCAAAATCTTTTTTACAATATGTATTCTAAAACAAAAACAAACTCTTTCGTTCCCCGGTCAGGTGTCGTTCATATAATTAGTAAATTTACGCACGCATTTCATTGTATAATCTCATCGAATTAAATCATTACAAAAAATCGCACATATCAATACGCCGGACACTCGTCAATGTGCGTCTCGAGTGAGTGAATATCCCCGAAAACTCCATTGCAGTGCTGACAGTAGGAAGTGTTCTTTCGATCCGCCTTATACGTATCGTCTCCCATCCTCAGCTGCTGTTGGGACTCATTACCTACACCCCCATCACTTCCCTGAGACATTCGGCTACACCTTCGGCTGTAATTCTGCTGTTCCGCTTGGCTGTATAATGAAATAATCATAAAAATCATCGCGATTAGTCCGATTAGTAATAATAGGTTCAACCCGCCCCCTTCTCCCCCCTTACCCGTTCAACGCTTCGACGATCAAAGTTCGGTTCTGCTGTTGAAGCTGTTGCAACTCGCTGGCTTGGCGATTCTTTTCCGCCATCACAGTTAGACGCGCAATTCGTTCTTCGGCAAAGTCACTTTTGTAGATATCCAACTGCGCTTTCAGTAGTTCAATTTCACTTTTCAGGGCAGCAGAGCTGCTGGGTCGGGTCGACGTTGGCGTCGTCGTGACTATGTCCAGCGAGTGAGGATTTTCCTTCAGGGACGGTGGTGAGTGGGAGGGTGTATGGATTGCGCTAATCGACAGTTCCGCTCTACACTTGACCAGCAGCTCTTGCAGGGCATTCAAGTTTGCTCGCATCGAGTCAAGGTTGTCTGAGCATGATGTTTGCTGGAATTAATTAGCAGACTTAATGAGGGCTTTCGAAATTTGGGCCAGAACTTACAACTTTTCCATATTCTGCGAGTTGTGCTTCGAGTATGGCATTTTTCTTCTGTAAAATTAGATATTCCTCTCGGGAGACACTGTCTTTTTCAATCATTTTCTTTGACATTTGCAAGACTTATTAAGAATTCACCGAACAACAAAAAACGGTCGACTTTCCAATCCAGTACCCAGGCACCCACTAATAAGGCGAGGAAATTCCGAATGCAGTTCAACCAAAACAAAAGCAGTGATTCTATGTGCTCGATATCTTAATCACATTTTGCCAACCTCTATGGAAAAACGTCAAATTATCGACTGAGCCCCATGTTGGATAAGATAAACTTGCTCGATAAGATAGTGCGTGCGATAAGAGCTGGATGTTTTGAAACAAGGGATTTGGTTTTTATTGTCAGGCCAATTTCGCATGGGTCAAATTTCAAATCAGTTCGGCTTGGGTTCGGCTGAACGATAATGCTCGCTATATCGAGATGAATTTATTGATTAAATGCAGTTACAATCGGACGATTAATGTGAGCTTCACCGATCAATACAATTGCAATCCGTTAACGCCCACTAATCATGACATGAACAAAGCAAGCCCTACCATGCTTATTGACCGTGACAAAGTACATTATAACATGCGGGAGCTCTCTTTCAATGTCAGTCTCAGTAATTATATCGTTAGTTGTATAATTTAGATGGTTTAAGGGTGGTGAAAAATTCACATTGCATGACGTGCTATATGAAGCTTCCTGATCGAATAAATTGAATTCTTAAAAGCTGTGAGTAATGATTCGTTAAGGTATGACCATCAGTGTGTTGTTCAGAATACACTAATATCTGCATTTTACAAATTATGTACACTATCGGACGACTCAATAAACCGACATTACGGTATCTTATGGAGCTGTTTTATATTGTTAGGTGATTTGTATATATTTGACAGTCAGGTTATTGGACCGATCCCACTAATCCGGCCACAAATTAGTCGGATTACTTAGCAGGGGGATACTGGAGAGTGAAAAGTTTGAATGTGTTCATCTCTGTAAATAAGGCCTAGTATGCAATTTTAAGGATGGTTGGGTGTTCGAAATCGGAATTTTAAAATGCGAATATCTTCGTAAATATGACCTAAATCGCCTTTTTGAGGAGTGTTTGGGAGTTCAAATTTTTAAAATGTCTTAACTTTGTCTACGAAAATATGGCCTAAATCACCGCCATGAAAACTAATTTGGCATCCGAACGACTACCGGCCTCAACGGAGGAACTTCGGAAAATCTTTTTCGAGGAGCATGAGGAATATGGTGTACCAAAACAGATGGCATCTAACGACTTGGAATCCTATCAGCGCCATCTTAACAACCAGAGGATCCAACACCTGCTGTATAACGGAAAGCGCCGACAAATTTTACAACCCGATTTTTCGGAAACAATGACTCCTTTCGACGACAAAGAGGTAACTAATAATAATAATGAAACTATTTTATCAACCGACGTACTTCCAACAATGTCTTCACATAATGTACACACATGTTATGAAGTAATTACATTGGGTTGTTAGCCATGTTAGGTTGTATGCTTAAATAAAAGAGCAGAAAAAGGTTGTCTACCATTTAATTCCACTGGAAGATAACCATTTTTTGCTGTTTTATATTAAATTTTTATTTACTGTCAACATTTCAATCGCATGACAAGCCCAGCCAAAATGAAGAAAATGTATCAAAATGTATTATGCTCATCCTTCGAAAAAAAAAATATATTAACAGTGGTCATTAATTTTTAAGAATGCAGGGAATGTCGAAATTACGGTAGATGTCTTCTACATGTTAACAGAAATAATTTCGGAAGAAATACCTTTGAAGAAAAAAAGATGTCACATAAACACACAAAATGCAGCCTGATATAACAGGCAAATAAAAAACTTAAAAAATCGAAAACAAAAAACACATAAAATTTACAAAAAAAAACACAATAGCTGGATAATTTAACTGAATTCAACCATCAGTAATGCATTTGAAGAGTATAATTCAGAAACTGAATTTGAAATAAAGTTCAGTCAGAAGAACTTCTTTAATTACGTAAAAACCAAATTAAAATCTGACAATTTTCCTTCATCTTGACGAAAATGTTGACTCGTAAAAAAACCTGTAATCTATTTGCAATTTTTTTTCAAGAAATCTACACACTTAGATTTTTTTGCCGAGATGGGCACCACCGAGCAGCTCGGCATTTTATTTTGCTGGAAATTCAGCAAAAAAAATATGTTTGTTAGCTGAGATCTCGGCAAAATTCCCGTTTGTTAGCTGAATCTCGGCAAGTTTTTCACTGAGATCCAGCAAAATAAAATGCCGAGCTGCTCGGTGGTGCCCATCTCGGCGAAAAAATCTAAGTGTGTACACGACATTTTCTGAAGAAGATTGTATTTTATCCAGAACGTTCAAGGAACATTGGCGTCAATCAACTTCAAGTGCAGGATATTTTGCACTGGACCTGACGGAATTCCTCCAGGGTTAAAGAAAAGTCTAGCGACGGAACTCACTGCTCCATTGTTTTGGTTTTTTAATATGTCCCTGGAATCCGGATCCATACCAAACATTTGGAAAAGCTCATTTCTATCACATAAAATTTACAAAAAAAAACACAATAGCTGGATAATTTAACTGAATTCAACCATCAGTAATGCATTTGAAGAGTATAATTCAGAAACTGAATTTGAAATAAAGTTCAGTCAGAAGAACTTCTTTAATTACGTAAAAACCAAATTAAAATCTGACAATTTTCCTTCATCTTGACGAAAATGTTGACTCGTAAAAAAACCTGTAATCTATTTGCAATTTTTTTTCAAGAAATCTACACACTTAGATTTTTTTGCCGAGATGGGCACCACCGAGCAGCTCGGCATTTTATTTTGCTGGAAATTCAGCAAAAAAAATATGTTTGTTAGCTGAGATCTCGGCAAAATTCCCGTTTGTTAGCTGAATCTCGGCAAGTTTTTCACTGAGATCCAGCAAAATAAAATGCCGAGCTGCTCGGTGGTGCCCATCTCGGCGAAAAAATCTAAGTGTGTACACGACATTTTCTGAAGAAGATTGTATTTTATCCAGAACGTTCAAGGAACATTGGCGTCAATCAACTTCAAGTGCAGGATATTTTGCACTGGACCTGACGGAATTCCTCCAGGGTTAAAGAAAAGTCTAGCGACGGAACTCACTGCTCCATTGTTTTGGTTTTTTAATATGTCCCTGGAATCCGGATCCATACCAAACATTTGGAAAAGCTCATTTCTATCGTTAAATCTGGCCGAAATTCTGACGCACGAAATTATCGAGGAATAGCCATTATCTCTTGCATTCCTAAACTTTTCGAGACAATTGTCAACGAAAAATTATTTCTCCAAATAAAAAAATAGAATTACTGACATGCAACACGGCTACTTCAAGGGTCGTTTGACCTCGACAAATTTACTTGCATTTATAGACTATTAATTGAATGCAATGGATAATGGAAACCACGTAGAAGCCCTCTATACAGACTTTAACAAGACATGTGACCGCATTGACTACTATTGTTTAAATTGCAATAAATTAGAATGTAGCCAGGACTCCTGAAGTGGTTTGAATCATATTTAACTAACCGACAACAAATAATTAAATTCAACGGAAAGAAAGCTGTAACGATTTATGTGACGATTTCAACTTGACTATTTTGAACACTGGTGAAGCGACACGTATAGCTAAACCTCCGGCTCGAGAAAGCCGACTCGACATATCTTTGTGTTCAAGATCACTATCATTGGATTGTCTGTGGAAGGTTATCAATGATCCCCATGGTAGCGATCATTCACAATGCTGGAATTCTCTATGGCTCTTCTTTCATCGAACAACTCCTCACCGGGAAGCGATATGATTAAATTCAATCTTCTGAAAAATCTCCCAGATATCGCTAAAAGACGCTTGCTACACTCATTCAATTCCTTACTAGAAAACAACATTATACCGCCTGAATGGAGACAGGTCAAAGTAATAGCCATTCGAAAATCTGGCAAACCAGCGTCTGACCATAACTCATACCGTCCGATTACTATGCTTTCGTGCATTAGGAAATTGTTCGAGAAAATGATCCTTCGGAGACTCGATCAGTGGATTGAAACAATTAACTTGCTATCAAATACACAGTTTGGGTTCCGCAAAAGCAAAGGAACAAACGATTGTCTAGCGCTGCTTTCCACAGATATTCAACTGGCCTTTGCACACAAGGAGCAATTGGCTTCAGTATTCTTGGACATTAAGGGGGCTTTTGATTCAGTTTCCATTGAAATTCTGTCATACAATCTGCACAGATGTGGACTTTCTGGAATTTTAAATAATTTCTTGTACAATTTGTTGTCAGAAAAGCAAATGAACTTTTCTCTTGGAAAACTGACAACTTCCAAAATTAGTTACATGGGCCTGCCCCAAGGCTCATGTCTCAGCCCTCTTCTTTATAACTTTTATGTCAAAGATATCGACAACTGTTTGGCTGAACAATGCACGCTTAGACAACTTGCAGATGACGGTGTGGTTTTCGTAAGAGGTCCGCATGCCGTGGACTTGCAAGGACCATTGCAAAGTTCCTTAGATAACTTGTCTTCTTGGGCTAGGAATCTAGGGATCGAATTCTCGCCGCAGAAAACTGAACTAGTAGTGTTTACTCGAAAGCGGTACCCAGCCCAAATGCAGCTTAATCTTTTGGGCAGAAACATTACTCAATCATTGTCTTTCAAGTACCTTGGGGTCTGGTTTGATTCAAAGTGCACTTGGAATACCCATATTACGTATTTGAAGCAAAAATGTCAGCAGAGGATCAACTTTCTCCGTTCAATTTGCGGCACATGGTGGGGTTCTCATCCGGGAGACCTCATAACGCTTTATAAAACATCAATTCTCTCTGTTCTAGAGTACGGCTCTTTCTGCTTTCTCTCGGCAAGAAAAAGTCACCTAATAAAATTGGAACGAATTCAATATCGTTGTCTGCGTATTGCTCTTGACTGTATGCACTCAACGCATAACATGAGTCTCGAGGTTCTGGCAGGAGTAAAACCCCTCCAGAACTGTTTCTGGGAGCTCTCTCTCAGATTACTAATC